GAATTTGAATTATAGTGTTGGGGAAGAATAGTGAAAGTACCATGGACTGCCCAAAGAATGAACAAATCTGTTTTTTAAGAAGTGCATCCAAATTGATCCTTAGAAGCAAGAACGGGGAGACTTCATATCTTGTTCTTTAAATAGGTTATCAGAAAAGATCAGACCCTGGAGCACATCATGTTTGGGAATATGGATGATCAACCAAAAAGAGGAAGACACCCCCCCCCCACCACTGATATGGACTGACACAGTGGCAACAACAGTAGACTCAAGCAAGCATGACAATTGTGAGGATGGCTAGGAGTGGACAGTTTTTCTTTCAGTTGTATATAAGATCACTAGGAGTTGGAATAAACTCAACAGCACCTAACAACAAGAACAAGGAGATGTGCTACTGGCATCTAGTGGGTAGACGTCATGGATGCTTCTAAATGTTCTACAATGCACAGAAGATCCCACACGCAATGAATTCTCTCTATTTTTAAAAATTAAAATAATAAAATATAAATACAAAGTTGTGCAGTTAAACTATGGTTATAAATGGTGCTATCTTTATAGAATTCTAAATGGATAGCTTTCTGTATTTGTGGATTTATGTATTTACTTAACATTTAAGCTGGAGAAGAAACAATAGTTATTTGTATGTTTGTTATAGTCATGGGACTATAGAACATCTTATCTGTCTATAGTGTTTTTTGAGAAATATCTAATCACATGGCTTTAAATATCACATATGTACTAATGACTTCCAGTTCTATTTTTTCAATATTTTTGCATATATACAAATGTGGCTATTTGATCTTTGATAGTTAATTGGTATCTCCTACTTAATATGTTGTTGTTAAGTGCTATAAAGTCAGTTCTGATTTATAACTACCCTGTGTAGAGTTTTCCAAGGAGCAGCTGGTGGGTTTGAACCACCAATTTTGCAGGTAGATATCCAGTGCTTATTTTACAGTGCCACACCAGGATTCCATAAAACTTTTCTTTTTGCCTCACACCCTACAATGGGCTCCTCTCTCATGCTTCACCAATTCTGTAAACAGTTATCATTGTGCATTAGTTTGTTGTGTGTCACTGAAGTTAATCTAACTCACAATGACCCTATATGACTAAGTAGAACTGCTCCATAGACTTTCCAATGGAGAAACATTTTAGGAAGTAAATGCCCATGTCTTTTCTCCTGCTGAGCCCCTATGGTGGGTTAGAACTTCTGACTTTTTGGTTAAGAGCTTGGCACTTAACAGTTGTACCACCAGGGCGCCTTGTACATGAGGTAATTAGATCTTTTTGCTAGCCCTCACATCTCATTTCAAATTAGCTTAGTCTTGTTGGCTTAGTCTTGTTGGCTCTACCACCTCAGATTATCTCAAATTCAACCAGTTATCACAGTTCCTTCAGTCTAATTTGTCATTGTCATCAATACTGTTGTAAATCCTCTTTCACCTCTGCTTCTGCCCCCATCAATCAATCCTCCACAGTGACAGTAAATCAAATTTAACTCTATCCTAACTATATCATTAGGACCTTCTTTTGAGGTGCTTCTGAACAAATTTGAATTGGTAAACAGACCCTCATAAACGGACCTTTTTAACTTCTCAAATTCCTCTTCGCTCACTCTCCATTTTCTTGTTTCCAGCTATATTTACTGCCCTTGAATATACCAAGCACTTGTTATTTTTTTCTACTTAACATGTCCTTCCTACATGATCTTTCCAAGCTTTCCTACTAATCCTCCTTCAGGTTACAACTATGTCTTCTATTAAGAGGTATTTTCCTGACACATTTACTACAGTAACACACTCAACCATAATCACTTTCTACCACATTACCCTAGTTTATTTTCTCCAATGAGTTATCAATTTCTGAAAATATTTATTTGTATACCTGCTAATCTGCATATCCACACTAGCTTGTAGATGCAGTGTTTTAGGACTTGACTGCTAACCCAACAGCTGTTCTGTGGGAGAACTATGACAACTGTTTTCAAATATATTTTATTCCTGCAACCCTATAGGGCAGTTCTACTCTATCCTATAGGGTTGTTACATTAATTTGATGACAATAGATTTGAGTTTTTGCTTGTATATAGATGAGTATGTTGTTGTTAAGTGCTATCAAGTCGGTTCCTAATTATAGTCACCTATAGAGGGTTTCCAAGGAGAAGCTGGTGGGTTTGACAGAACTTGTGGTTAGAAACAAAGTGCTTATATTGCAGTGCCACACCAGTACTCCATAGATGAGTATAGCAGCTTACTCACTGCACCCTAACACTCAGTCTGACTAAACTGAAGCTCAATAGCTCAATATTATCTGTACAACACATTATAAAATGTAAAATTGGAGATTCATATGCATTGGATTTGATCTCTGTAAATCAATTTATATATATATATATATATATATATAAATCATTATCAAAAAATAACAAATTGCATAGTATACTTTATTCTTTGGCTTTACTAATAGCATTGTTCCCTGAATGTCTGTGAATCGATTTTAACTGTATTTGTTAAAATCTAGAATGTTTTGATTTGAAGTAAATCTTTTTCATATATTTTCTGATAAGACATATTCAGATTATTCAGGAAATTTCAGAGGCGCCATAATGAGAGAAAGGAGGTCAACAGGTAGAATTGGAAGGAAGACTCAGGGTACTAACAACAACAACAACAACAAAAAAAATAGATTAGACTGTCACTTATCCAAAGGTTGGAGTTCCAAGGTATGTACAAATCCAAATGCACCTTTCCTTCATGTTTGGGTAACTTGCATAACCTCCTCTTACCTATTAAGGTAGACTCACCAGGAACTTCCAAGTGTTTCAAAACTGTAAATACATATACTATCCTCAACAACAATGATAAATAATAAATTAAAAATAAATAATAGATAGATATGCAAAGAGAACAAGTATAAATGTCATATAGAAATACAACTCTGTGTATATATAGGTGTGGAATAGATATTTCTATATATATATTTGTTGTTGTTAAGTGCTGTCAAGTCAGTTTGACTCTTAGAAGCCCTATATAGGGTTTCCAAGGAGCAGCTGAAATATTTGAACTGCAAACTTTGTGGTTTAGCAGTCCAGTGCTTATCCTTCAGTGCCACATGTGCTACAAATATATCCATGTATGTAGTAGAAAGCACAAGGAGCATAGTGAGGAAAACTTAGCTCTAACCATACATCTTGTAGGACTGAGTTACTGGACTTCAGATTAGGAAACATAGGGTCAAGGGACATCACGGTCAGTTGGCATAACATAGTCCATAAAGACAACATTCTACATTCTACTTTAGTGAGTAGTGATTGGGGTCTTAAAAGTTTGCAAGCGACTATCTAAGATACAACTATTGGTCTTTTCCTGTCCAGAAAAAAGAAAAGTGAAGACAACCAAAGATTCAAGGAAACAATTAGTCCAAAGGGACTAATGGACCACAAGAACCAGGGTTTCCACTAGCCTGACATCAGAAGAACTAGATGGTGCCAGGCTACCACTGTTGAATGCTTTGATGAGGATTGCAATAAAAGGTCCCAGACAGAGTGAGAGAAAAAGTCAGAATAAAATTCAAATTCATAAACAAAAGACCAAACTTACAGGTCTTATAGAAACTGTAAGACTACAATCCTTCTTGTTGTTGCTAAGTGCCATCAAGTTGGTTCCAACTCATTGAGACCCTGTGCAGTGTTTCTGAGGAGCAGCTGTTGGGTTTGAACTGACAACCTTGTGGTTTGCAGTCAGTGCTAATACTTAGATACCTTAAATACCTTAAAACTGAACCCACTTCCAGAAATCACCTTACAGCTAAACAGTAGGCAGGCCTATAAAGTTAACAATAAGGAAATTCATGCTTCTCAGAACATTCAACAATCTGAAACCAAAAGGACTGCATTTTCTCAAAAGCAAAATTCAGAGAGGGAAGAGGATTTAAAATACTTACTGGTAAAAATCAAAGACTATAGCCATTGAGTTGCACTTCAATGAAAAGAAAACAAAAATTCTCACCACTGGACCAATAAATAACATCAAGATAAATGGAGAAAAGATTGAAGTTGTCAAAGACTTCATTTAACTCAAATCAACCAACATCATTCACTGAAACAGTAGTCAAGAAATTAAACAACATATTGCATTAGGCAAATCCATTACACAAGACCTCTTTAAAGTGTTGAAGAGCAAAGATGTCAGTTTGAGGACTAAGGTGCACCTGACTCAAGCCATGGTATTTTCAATAATCTCATATGCATGCAAAAAAAAAGAAACATGAAGAAAGCAAAAGATTCAAGAAAACAATTAGTCCAAAGGACTAATGGACCATGTCTCCACAAGGCTGACATTAGAAGAACTAGATATACAGTGAATAAGGAAGACTGTAGAACAATTGATGCATTTGAACTATAGTGTTGGAGGAGACTATTAAAAGTGCCATGGACTACCAAAAGAACAAATAGATCTGTGTTAGAAGAAGTACAGACAGAATGCTCCTTTTAGACCAAGATGGCCAGACTTCATCTCTCATACTTTGGACATATTATCAGTAGGGACCAGTCCCTGGAGAAGGATGCCATGTTTGATAAAGTGAAGAGTTGGATAAAAGAGTAAGAACCCCAACAAGATGGACTGACACAGTGACAGTAGCAATGGGCTCAAATGTAGCAACAATTCTGAGGTTGGTGCAGGATCAGGCAGTGTTTTGTTCTGTTGTGCATGGGTGCTCTCTATTAGTTGGTATCGACTTGATGGCACCTAACAACAACAACAAAAATTCAGAAAGCAGTAAGAGGTAGGAGAGCTGAACTAATGGAAATAGGGAAACCAGGGTAGAAGAGGGGGAATTATTACACATTGAAGGGATTGCCTCCAATGTCATGAAATAATCTGTGTATGAAATGTTGCATGGGAAATTAGTTTGCTTTGTAAATATTCACCTAAACCACAATAAAAAGCTTAAAAAGTTAAAAATAAGGCAGTACGTTTAATAGACAAAACAAATACCTTATGTATCCCCAAAGATCACTTCGTCCCACTAATTGATCAGATATCAAGTATGTATTATGTGAAGTTGAGATAAAATAATCACATAGTGGATGACTCATATCTTGATAAACATGTTTGCACTCGTTTTTAAACACAAAGCATTCAGATGAATCCATATATCTTGTAAAACCTTCAACTGACATCTGGAGATGTTTCTTAACTGTTGAAAAAAAAGTTAAAAAGAATGTAAAAATACCATTAGTAGTATAAAATTTGCATGTCACTTATAAATCTATTTAGCAGTAGAAGACATTAAAATATTTATTTAAAACTAATAACATTACTTCTATTATTTCTTTAGAAATAGTACTTCTCTTGAATATTCTTAGTTCTCATATCAACATTGAAGTATAGAATACTAATTAATTATCTCTGACTTTTTATAACTTAAAATATGCACACAGAAAAAAAATGTACATATTTTAGATTGATGGTGTTCTACAAGCTAAGCATTTGGGCAAGTAGCACCTAGGACAAAAAAGTAGAACATTAGTATAGCTCCCTAAAAATCTGCCTTCTATTAACTTCCAGATGTCATCTGCCTCCCAAACATATTCACTGTTCTGGCTTCTATAAGCATAGATTAATTTTCTCTAGTTTTCCTACTTTCAATAAATAGATTCATACAATACTTATTGTGTCTGGTTTCTTTTGCCCAACAGTATGTTTCTAAGATCATTCCTACAATTGCATATACTTACACATTATTGTTTCCCATTGCTGTATAGTATTACATCATGTGAATAGTCTATGATTTATTTATTCTTTCTATTCTTGAGAACCATTTAGATAAATTCCAATTTGGGGCTTCTAGTCAGTTTGAACCATGAGATCCACAGGTCAAGCTCTCCAGAAGCTCCTTGGAAACCCTTAAAGGGTGGTTATGAGTTGGGACTGACTTGACGGCACTTAACAGTAACAACATGTCATTTCATGCAAATATTTAACATTTTTGTTAGGCCCATACCAAGGAACAGAATTTGTGTATGTTCAGTTATGTAAATTATGATTTTTTCACTCACTGTAATGAATATCAAAGTTATAGCTTTAAGCTCCTGAATCAGCCTGGATTCAAATCCATTTGCACCTGCTCCTCACTTATCAGCTATATAATTATCTGATATTTGACGCTTGCAGGACAATAGTAAAAAAAAAAAAAAAATCTATTGTCCATCTATTTTGCCCATTAACAACAGAAATCTGGCAGTCACAAATGCTGAAGTATGAGATGAGAGTAGTGTTGGCTGTGATGGTTAAGCCTATGGGTCAACTTGTAGGCCATGATTCTCAGTAGTTTGGCATCTATGTAATGGTATAATTTGACAATTATGCAATAATGTAATTTGATAATTATGCAATAATATAGTCATCTTCCATTGTTTTATCTGATTTGGTCATCCTCCATTTTTTGCATAATGCCAACTTTTACATAACAACCTAATCTTTGGAATCTAACCATGTCAGTAAGTGAGGAGTGGAATTATTTGTTATCTGATCTTGAGCATGTTAGTTAATTTGTCCACATTTGGGGGATAATCATGGCACCTACCCTTGTGTTGTAAGAAGTAAATTAGATTATCTGTGAAAAACAATTGGCATTATCACCACTCTATAAACATTAGTTGCTATTATTTTTGTTGATAATGGTTATGATGATTATGAAGGTGATAATTAAGTTAGTACAAAAGAAAAAAATGGTTTAAATATTCACCTTAGAATAGAGCACACATCTAGGCAAGAAAATTTACTTCAAGAAATATATTCTACAAAGA